AAAAAAAAACCAAAACAAACAGGCTTGACTTTACCAAAAGGGAATGCCATTTTCCACACCTAAGAGCCCCCAACATCTGATGCCCACCACTGCGGCACAAGAAAACGCCTGAGGGCTGACAAGGACGTTCCAGTGACACCCAGTTTCAAACAGAAGTTATTTGAACCATCACTCCAGCTGAACAGCACACGCGACGTTCTGCCCCACAAACATTTCTTTCTGTCACTGCAGCAAGAAAACTGCCCTCACATATATTCACAGAAATACCGTGAATTTAACCTCGTCTTAAATAATCACGGGTCTCTTTGGGCCAAACTCAGAGAAAACGGCAACTACATAAAGACAAAAAATCTGTTTTAGAAGTGCAAATTACCAATACTGTACAGGAATTCCATCAAGTATTAATACAGATCATTAACTCTGCAACAGGACACTACTGTTAACTGCACTGCTGAGGTTCTTTACCATCTGGGCAACAAAAACGTTGCTCCAGATGTGCGATTCACAATTGAAGGAGAACTTAAGAACGCAGATGAAGCAGATAACGTGTTCTACAACCGCGTCAAGAGCCTGGAAAAAGAGCTTGTGGCAGAAAACATACCAGGTACAAAGGAGGGGTTTGGGGTAAAGAGGAAGTTTTTGGGACAAGGATGTCCTCCATGGCCAGAAGCAAACCTAAGCTCAGCTGGTGGTGGTCCAGGACTCACATGGGAGCCAGGACCGAGGGGCTGTGGCTATTAGCCCTCCTCGGAAGCCACGCTGCTTCACTTTCTCTCATTCACGGTGGTCTGTCAATCCCAGCACCACCAAATTTATTCACCGTCTCTGAAACCCAGAGCTGGTGCATGATTTGCACGTGATTGTTCTTGAGCCACCTGCTGCTGGTACTACTCCCAGCGTCCTGCTCGCTGTGCGTGGCTGTTGGCAGTGTAGTACCTGACACCCCAACGGCAGTACCAGGGTCTGCTCTTTAGAGCAACCCCTGCCTTGAAGACCTCATAGAATATATATGAAGAGAAAGAAGTGGGAGGAAAACAGACACCCTGGTGATGGAGCAGCTGTTCCAAGATTATATGGAAGGTCTGTGGCGCAGCAAGGAACGTAAGCGAGTGACTTCAGCACCAGACCTTACTATTAGGTGATGAGGTTCTGTTAATGGCTGCAACTCCATGAATCTTGCTTAACGTATATATTGTTCACTTTGTTTGCCAGACAGCCACGGCACCGTGGCCCCAGAAATGGAGCCCGTCCTCCTGCTGGCGCGGGCCGCCTCCGGCTACGTGATGTGGCAGAACTCAACTGAGAACACCAAGTTCCAATTTGCCCAAATCAAACACGTGAAGCAAGTGGTAAGTTACCATCAGTGCCCTGTGAGAAAAGTGCTATTTAGGAGCTAAGCAGTTGTGCATGTGCTGGGCTACAGCTGAAGCCAAGTTCTTAAGCGAGAAACCTCTGAACTTCTTGGTCCAGTTGGTTTTTGAGCCAGTGTTTGCTTTTTCTTCCACCTGCCCCTTTCCTCTAGCAAATGGTGAACGCTTAAACGTTTGTTGAGGTAGATTCACATAATCATAGACTGGTTTGGGTTGGAAGGGACCTCAAAGATCATCCAGTTCCAACCCCCCTGCCATGGGCAGGGACAACCTCCACTACACCAGGTTGCCCAAAGCCTCATCCAACCTGGCCTGGAACACTTCCAGGGATGGGGCAGCCACAGCTTCTCTGGGCAACCTGTTCCAGTGCCTCACCACCCTTGGAGTGAAAAACTTCTTCCTTAGATCTCATCTAAATCTGCCCTCTTTCAGTTTAAATCCATTGCCCCTTGTCCTATCACTACATACCCTTCTAAAAAGTCCCTCTCCAGCTTTTGTTGTTGAGATCACTCCTTCTCTTCATCAATTTTGCTTATAGAGGCTGTGTCTTCTCAACAACAGCAGTATTCCATGCTTATTTAGTGAAGAAAATGGACTCTGCCACTTGGAGGTCATCTCGCTGATGACGGTTTTGTGTTCCTTTCCTGCCTTTCAGCTCTGGCGTAAGCCCAGCTGACAGCATTCTTGTATCTGCATAAGATGCACTGGAATACTGTCCTCCATCTCTTGAGCCACACCATGACCTAGCAATCAGTCTCAGCAATGCTGCCTGGCACCTCTGCGACAGCCGAGTCTACACAAATAGCAACGGGCTGCACCTCAAATCCAGTCAAACCCAATCTGCACTGCTTTAGTTTGCAGTACTGCGCTCCCATCCATTTGCTAGTTCACCCCAAAATGCTAACCAAGAAAGAAAATACTGACTGAATTCTACTCTCATTATTAGCTTTTGTACTTTGTTCTTCCCAAACTTACTTTGACTCATTTTTAGAATTTTTTTTTTGGGGGGAAGAAAATCTAAAATTAATTTTTAGTTGAGACATTCATATGGCAGAAGTGCTCTCAATTTTTTTTAAATGACCCATTTAACAGTAACACTTACTTCAAGGATAGCTTTCTACCTGATTTGAAAAATTCAGTCAATTGCAGCAATGCTCTTATATCAGCATGACGAGCATCAATGAAGTTTATGATTCTATAGACTCTCGCAGTTCTTCTCTGTTCCATCTGGAGAAAATATACTGTGAGTTAAGAATAACTCCTGAAGGGATTGTCATCTTTAAATTCGAGGAAATTAAGCTGGAATAAAGGAGGAGGGTTTTGTATTTAGAAAACCCAACATATCAGGAGTCTTCAGAACAGACTTGCAGAGCCCGAACGTGTGGCCACCCAGAACTGCCAGTGAATTCCCATGAAGTTCTGGGCACGAGGAGAGGCAGGAACCCATTCTGGGCACACGGTTCGTTAGCGTTTTGCTCCCTCTGATGGCTATCTCAGAGCACCTCTCAGTGCTGCAGGGCTCTGCACAAGCAGCTTTTAAAACCCCCTTTAAAAAACAGACAAATTTAAGGATAAGGCAGACAGAGACTATTACACTAAACCAGCTGTCATCTCTTCAGCAATTTTGTTCGTTTTCTTTTCCCTGAAAAACAGGGACATAAACAGTATGTTCCACAGGCCAGCGGGTGTTCTGTCGCTCACACAAGCACTGACAACTTGTTATCTGCTGGAAGGCCTCTGGAGTGTGTTCCAAGTATTATCCTGACAATATTATTTAGGATTATTTGGGTTAAACTGACACCTTGTAGAATCAGGTGTTCCCTCCCCAAGTGGAATTCCTGAAGTTGAGATATATCTGGCTTCTTTAAAGGAGGAATTAGCATAATTTTAAGTTTCACATCCCGTCTCAAATGCAGAAACACAAAACAGTCTCTCTTTGTTTTGCTGTAGTGACTAAGCTCCACCTGCTTTCTGTGCTACCAAAAGCTGCTAGTTTCATCTGAAATGTATCAGGGAGTTTTTATGACAACCGAAGAGAACTGATTCACTTCTTTTAAGGTGGGGCGAAGCCCCAAATTCAGCCCTTTTCATCTTGTCTTTCCAGAAAAGAAGTGATGAATACCTTGAATTTGACTACATGATTCTACTTCACGAAATGGTGTCCCAGGTAAAGTCTTTCTCCAAAACCTTTGTTTGGTTTTTAAGGCTGCCAGCTGTGTGACCTCCAACTCAGCCACGCAGATGGTGGGGCGTTCACTGATGTGCTGCCTGCAGGTCAGTTAGCACCAGGGTGAGATTAGGGCAACCATCACCCATCTGTGTCAGCAGACAATAATTTTCAGCTATTTCTGGGACCTTCTTGGGAATGGCAGCAGTTCAGCATATTGGTCATTCACAGCTCTCTCCTCTTGGGAGCTACTATTGCCAAACTGGCCAGGGATAAAGGGAAGAAGCAGCTGCCAGCATCCTGGACTGCTTAGCTGCATTCCAGCTGGAGCTGCAAACATGGTGCTTGCTCTACGCTGGAGGACAGCAGTGGTGGACCAGTTCACACAGGCATCGTCTGCCCCAGTGGCTCACAGAAGCAAGCAGCAGAAACTGTGGTTTCCAGAGAGTATTTACATTGGGTGCTATTCTCCATCATAATTTTGCAATCCGAGCAAGCGCTTTCATAAGAAAAACGCAGAAAATTTGAAAGTTGTTCTTGATTGTGCAACCTCCTGTAATAAATTGTCCACTGATAACAATGAGAGATCTCACTGCCACTTCTAGCTCCCCTACTTCCTACCCCACTGCCCTCTCAGGTTAATTTGGGGCATCTATACTGTTTGCAGTTCTTAAGTTTTCCATGAAGAAAAACTCCTGAGAAGTAGTAGCTAACTAATTGCAGAACAAAAGCATTGTTCTTCATTGTCCCAAAATATCAATGGCACTAACAGGAAGAGGGATGATCCAACACAGACGTGCTTGAGCTGCTGAACTTGCCTAGATGAGAGAAAAACGTAGTTGCAGCAGCATGGAGCACAACACAGGCTGAAAAAACCTGGCAGGAGAACTTCAGATATCTGGACAGACCAGCACAAGAAGGACATGGAGCTGCCGGAGCGGGTCCAGAGGAGGCCACGGAGATGATCCGAGGGCTGGAACACCTCTGCTATGGAGACAGGCTGAGAGAGTTGGGGCTGTTCAGCCTGGAGAAGAGAAGGCTCCAGGGTGATCTTATTGCAGCCTTCCAGTACTTAAAGGGGCTACAGGAAAGCTGGAGAGGGACTTTTTACAAGGGTGTGTAGTGATAGGACAAGGGGCAATGGCTTTAAACTGAAAGAGGGGAGATTTAGATTGGATATAAGGAAGAAATTTTTCCCTCAGAGGGTGGTGAGGCACTGGAACAGGTTGCCCAGAGAAGTTGCAGATGCCCCATCCCTGGCAGTGTTCAAAGCCAGGTTGGATGAGGCTTTGAGCAACCTGGTGTAGTGGAGGGTGTCCCTGCCCATGGCGGGGGGTTGGAACTGGATGATCTTTGAGGTCCCTTCCAACCCAAACTGTTCTATGATTCTATGACAGCTCGGCAGGACTGTGTGTTACAGCGCTCACCCTGCGCTGCTGCTGGTGCTTGATCAACCTGCTCATCATCAGCCCAGCTAGGGCTGTGTTACAGCCACCACTTCCCCTTCCTGTTCACAGAAAACACCTTCTCACTTTCTGCAGTTTTGTTTTGTACCCACAGGAGATCATTCCCTGGCAAATGACAGTTCTCTGGCACCCACAGCATGGTGTTCAAGTGACACAGGACAGCCGTCAGCCAAAACACGCTGCGGAATAACCGACCACCCGGCACCGCAACGGGGAGAAGCTCAAACGCTACAACAAGCGTTTGGAGGGAGGGGAGATGAGTTGGTGAGGGTGGAGATGATATCAAGGTACCAAGAATAACCAAAGTCCTTCCTCAATTAGACTGTTCCTGATAACCCAAAAGGCACTTTCTCTGCTAGGTAATCAAATTTTGCATCAAAATACATTAAAAAAAACCCACCTTCTGTTGCCAGAAGGAATACTTACGGCACGGGTGTGGAGATGTTCTCTCTAAAGGCAACTTTTGGCTTTCCCATGGTGCAAGGGCAACCATACTCCCTTTCCATTCGCTGCAGAAAACAAAAAAAAGCAGAATGAAATACAGAGTTGTTCCCTTGGAACAATACATTGACAATTATTTACAGGTCTTTCTGGAATGAGAAACTTAATGAGGGTCAACCGTTTTTTTTTGGTTTGTGTTGGATTGATTTTTGGGGTCTTTGTGGGGGTTTTTTGTTGGTTTTGGAAATGTTACAAATTATTCATTGTCACTCTGCAAGTCATCCTTGTTTAGGGGCTATAGCTTTAGATACAGGAAAAGGGAACAGCATTAATTATTTTAGTCAAGTTAAAAGTTTTCAAAGGCAAAAGCCATCTTGTCTTCATTCTGTCAACATTTCAGATACATCTGTTGGGTTAGACTAAAATACAGACATCATCCTGAAAGAAACAAATAAACCAGTGTAAGAAACAATTCCCTCGTGCCTGCATCATCTCTTATTACGGAATGATACGTTTCAAAAGTATAGAAAGAGTATTTCTCTCTCCTGTAGATGGCTGACAGTAAAATTCAGTATAAGCAAAGGCTGCTAAAGCAAAGCGTAGTGCTTAATACAACGTTTTTATGAATTTGAACCAAAAAGTCAAAGTGTTCCAGGCAGAAGTTTCCTTTAAATAGATGACAAGCCTTCAAAGTAGAACCACTGGACAGAAAGAACCTTCAAAAGCTGACCAAGAAGCTCTTCCCTAAGCAGCCAACATTGTTCCCATTAACAACACGGTGCTTTCTGCTCAGAATATCTCAAAATAGTTGTCTTACGGTCACCCCGATGTACACAAAAGCAAATGACGTTGTAAACATCCACACATCTTCTGAACTTGATGTGCGCTTCGGCGCCCAGTGACAAAACTGGGTGCAAAGGCTGGCATCAGTCAGCTCATCTGCAGATAGATTTTGTGCTCAGCGAGCAAGGAAGGAGAATTCTTGGTTGGGAAAACAGTCAAAAGTGGAATCCATGGAATCTGCTTTCCAAATTACCTGGGAATAGATTTCCAAGTGCAGCTCCCCCATTCCCGAAACAATGGTCTCTTTGCTCTCATCATCAAAATGGGTTCTGAAAGTGGGATCTTCCCTTGTAAAACGGTTCAGGCCTTTGGAAAATTTATCAAAGTCATTCTGAAAAAACAGTACACACACAAGAAAACATTAACTCAACATCCAGAAGCCACAAAACAAAAAGGCCTCAAGTTTTCCTGTTGACTGCTGAGCACTTCTACTCCCATGAGGTCATTTTCATTTGGAACTGTATTTATTCCCCCAGTTCCTTCAAGTCCACGTTCACCCAGGTCAAAGACACGCATCTTCTTCCTGACTCAGTGACACCATCTCACAGTCACATGCTGGGCTACCTGAATGAAACCTTCTCAGGTACTTCAGACAGAACATTTTACAACTGCTTGGTTTAGCCCATGGTTCCATATTTAACACTAACCTGCAGAAAATTGTAAAAGCGGCGGAGGAAAGGTGACTCAGTCAGAAAAAGGGTGATTCGTAGGCTCCTACCTTGTTGGAAGGCTTCATAGCTACGGAAATGACAGGATCAGGGACGTGAATCGATTCCTGCAACGGCCATAAAGCAAGAGATCACACAATCAAGTTCCAGCACACCTGGTGGTGATGTTATTTCTCCAGAAAAGTCTGGTCACGAGGACACACGGGGATGACTGTTTTACTTATCTAGCTTGTATCTAATACCATAGCGTAACAAAGTCATGGAACCCTCCTGAGGATTACAGCGCCGTAACGTGGTGCGTGCCGTACTGCCAACCACGTGATTTCCAACGCCGCTTCCTAGGTGCAAGTTGATCCCTTTGGATTTCACACTAGTTACAAGATTCTGCTTCCTATCGGATTTTGTAAATGCATATATAAATAAAGCTGATGTATTTAAATGCATATACAAATACATAGTTTTAATATTTTGGGGTAACAACATCCACTTCTAACAGCCCAGACCAGTTTGCTAACTCTGACGTAATATATCTGATGTCAAGATGATGACACACAACAGAGAGGCGTGTCTCTGTTGCACATACCATACTTCTACATATTCAGGGTCCTTGAGGCATAACAAATAATCACAAAAAATATTTGCAGTTGCACATACATCAAAAAACATTTAAACTGAGCCAACGATTTCCAACTTTTTCAACAAACTCCTGGTAAATTCCAAAGCAGGAGGCATGCAGATGGAAGGTGTACTCACCATGGAAATGTCAGTACTCGTTTTATCAGTGAATGTATCCCCACTGGCACAATCAATTCCAAACAATGCACATATGTCTCCGGCATAAACTTCATTTACATCCTTCAGAAAGAGAAGTTTACTATTTAGATAACATTGAAAGAGCCAGTACAAACTACACCGAGTTTTAAGAAGATACATAAACACCGTCTTTAAAAGCTTGAAGTTAAGCTCCTCTGAAAATTCCAGCTGTGATAAAACACTCTGTAAATCTTCTCTCTCTTTATTCAAAGCACAAAAAGGAGACCTTAGCTCAGATGCCAACTCGTTCCAGTTTAAGGATGTGAAACAACATGCTATGTCAGAGGCAGTCTTGACTCAGCTATAGAGTTCAGGAATCTTAAACAGGAAAGGATATTATTTGCAGCAGTTTGAGAATCAATTTTTCTTTAAGAATTGTATGCAATAAGCACATGGAAGAAAACTTTTTTGTGTATTTTCCTTCCCCCAGAAGTATGGAATATGGTAGTAATACCACAGCTGGCCTGCTTTAGCTATCACCTCAAAGCCACTTTATAATGCTTCTTGGGCAAAGATTCCCCCACTTCAGTGGAAATAATACACTAGAGATCATTCCAGTTTCGCCTAGAGCTCTATTAAGTGCTCCAGGCAGGTGTGAACTCCCAACAAAAGTAGAAATTTGACGTCTCATGTCATTTAGAGATGAAAGGCAAGAAGTTTGTTTAGCTGAGAAGGTGACCCGTGTGGACTGCACCTCCCATGCTCACCTCCATGTTGTCTGAGTGCATCCGGACGAGTCTTTGCACGCGCACTCTCTTCCCAGTCCTGGTGTTGTAGATATAATCAGATTTCTTCAGCATCCCCTGATAAACTCGAACGTAGGTTAATTGCCCAAACCGGCCAGCCTGGAATCAAAATTTGTTAAAAATCAGCTATAATCCTTCCGGGAGCCAAGACCACTACTATTCAAAGCATGAGCTGCGCTCACTGACTAAATGTTTCTGTTTTGAATTTACACATTAGACATGTAAATCTGTTTTGTTTTGGTTTTTTTAACATAGTCTCAGCTTTCACTTGGCTCTGGAATAGAATTTGGCACCTCCTGGCAATTTTCTTTACTTCACCAATTTTACCAGTCCTAAACCTTCCCAACAGAGGCATACATTATCTAGCAATTTGGCCAGCCACTTTCCATCTGAAAATCCAGACTGCTGCTCTCTAGGTGGCAAACAACTTGTTTGGTTAAAACTCTGTACTGTTTCCTTTCCAACTCTCTTGCGTTCTGTTGTTTTCAGCTTCAAACAAAACCAGGATTTTTCTTTAAAGTATTTGAAATAAGCCAACGAACCCCCTCAAACGTTCAGGTTTTTGACTGAGAAAACCATGAAGGTTTTATGAGGCACATAATCCACTTTAAAACTTCCAAATCTGGCAACGTTTGATACATTTGTGGATTTTATGGTTGAAACCATTTTTTTAAAAGAAGTTAAATTTAATTTAAACAAACTGATTTTAAAATTTGTTCCACAAAAGTTTTGGTAGTACCACCTGTTTAGACTCGCTCTGTTTTCTACTGAAATCCCAAATAATGAATCTGGACACCTTCTTTGCTCCTTCAGGGTTAACCCAATGTGAACACAACTTCTGAAGTCCCTCTGGAGAGGTCAAATATTGGTACCATGGGAAACATGCAAGCAGTTGAGCAAAGTCAGCTAGGTAATGTTCTGGGCATCCACTCTCCAGAAACTTTCCGTTTAGCTTTCCAACATCCACAGTGACCGAGTAAAAAAGCCACCACGTGCACAAATAGACACCTTGAAAATAGAAAGCTTTTCCCCAAAACCAAAAGGCATTTCCCAGGCATTAATGACAAGCCACCTGTAGCTCAGAGCGAGCAGGACTCCTGTACACCAACAACTCTTGCAGGGAATGCCCTGCTTCTCTACTGGTTTCTCCTGCATTAGAAAGGAAAACATGAACAGCTTACCTCCAGTTTAAAAGCAAGGCCTACGAAAGGCTGGGAATCGTCTCGAGCTGAGTTCAATAGGAACTTGGTTTTGTCCTCAGAATCCCTTAAAAACAGGGATGGAGAGGGAGTTTATGTTATGAATCAAACATGCAGCCTCCTGTAAACATGAGCCCAACCTCAGAGAGTCCCAAGGGCCTTCAGTTTCCCAGGTTTACAACAGAGACCTAAAGATGCTCACATATGTAGCGCTCGGGCTCGGAAAGTATCTCAGAGGAACTGCAGCAGATCCCAAAAAGGAGGTTGAAACTATGACGAACCTCACTAGTCCTTTGATGTCGTTCAACTATTTTGCCATGAAAGCAATTCATCATACTCATGAGCAAGTCCAGTTTTAGAGTGAAGGCAGAGACATTGCAACCTGGTGTAGTGGAGGGTGTCCCTGCCCACGGCAGGGGGGTTGGATCTAGATGACCTTTGAGGTCCCTTCCAACCCAAACCATTCTGTGATTCCATGATTGCAGCAACTCTTCCAACAGTGCCTGTGAGCCCCGTGAGAAGTTTTAATCCCTCTCAGCAGGCAGACGTTAGGAGCAGCAAGAGGCACAGCAGCAGTGAGGACTCAGAGAGCCAGGTAACCGGCTGGGAGAAAAAGTCATCAACTGTATTAATTAGCATCATTTCTGTTCAGCTGTGATGATATTGTAGGAAGAATTCCAGAACATTAAGAAGACTGAAGCCACGACTGGAATGGTAAGGGCTGTCTGCTGGCTTTAGTGCTGGGTTTTATGCCTCTTAATTGTGGAGGGACATCGACTTCCACAAACACATCCGAAGAACAAAACGTTGCTTACACGTTTCAGATGCGCTCTCTCCTCTACTGCTGGCATGGTTTTAAGAGTTGCTGTTAATTTCTAAAGAACTATCTCATCAGATAATAATTTTTCAAATTATTTAATGTGTGTTACTTAATTTCTAAACAACTATCTCATCAGGTAATAATTTTTCAAATTATTTAATGTGTGTTAAAAATACCAGTACAAACAGTAACCCTCAAATGAGAGATGAGCTTTCTTAGTTTTGGAAGTCTGTGCAAAATTATGGTGGCATTATTTAATATGAATGGTAAATGAGCACAGTTTGTTCGTAACGTTTCCTGCTACATAGAATCACAGACTGGTTTGAGTTGGAAGGGACCTCGAAGATCATCCAGTTCCAAACCCCCTGCCATGGGCAGGGACACGCTCCACTACACCAGGTTGCTCAAAGCCCCATCCAACCTGGCCTTGAACACTGCCAGGGATGGGGCAGTCACAATTTCTCTGGGCAACCTGTTCCAGTGCCTCACCAACCTCACAGTGAAAAATTTCTTCCTTATATCTAATCTAAATCTGCCCTCTTTCAGTTTAAAGCCGTTACCCCTTGTCCAGTCACTACACGCCTTTGTTCCAAGTCCCTCTCCAGCTTTCCTGTAGCCCCCTTTAGGTACTGGAAGGCTGCAATAAGATCACCCTGGAGCCTTCTCTTCTCCAGGCTGAACTGAACGTTACTCTGCTTTGAAACCTGATTCCAAGACCACTCGGTTTGCTCACGAATATACTTACCCCTGGTTAAGAATAGCATAGTTTTCAACCTCTGAGGGATTGGGGAGGTATTCCAGGACAGCATCCAGCAATGGCTGTACCCCTTTGTTCTTTAAAGCACTTCCCACAAGCACTGGGGTAAAGGACTTCTTCAGTGTTGCTCTTCTGATGGCAAGCTGGAAAACATCAGTGTGTTACTCTCCTCCTGCAACAACTTCAGGAGTCTGACACAGGACCAACCAAGCAGCAGTCTAGATCCTCTCTCTCTTTGCTGGTCATCTCTACTCCTGGAGTAAAGCAGCCGCCCCCACATAGCTCCTAGACAAGAGCTTCCCATAAAACCTGCTCATCAGAATTCCAGAGAACTGTGAGATTTATTTTTTTCCCCCTCATCTTAAATTCAACTTAAAAATAAAAATGCCTAAGATAAATACAACGATAACCCCAGAAAAAGTTTTTCGATTCTCTGCTAGTAAAGTCAAGATTCTTAAGTTCTGGTTTAGATGCCTCATTCCCCGTTTAGTTTTGTTGGGAAACGATATACATTTAAATGAGTGAAAGTAAGATGAGATGCTTCAACATCTTTAAACTACGGGAAACTCTTCTGACAGAGGAAGTAAGGTAGGGAAGGGATATTTGGGTAAGTGCCGTGCTCAATGAAAGCTCATTTTTTGAAGAGGAATGTTTTAAAAGCACAACAGAAGAACCTGCTCACATTCATCTACGGACCTGCTGAAGTTGCACCAACTGCCTTGGGAATCCTTCCAGGACATCCCAGCAAACCGAGCAAGACAAACCAACCACACGGTCATCTCATGCTTCATCAGCACCTTTCACCGACGTGGCAAAGCACAGCTGGGCACCATCAGCATCACCCTACGTGGCAAAGCACAGCTGAGCACCATCAGCATCACCCGATGTGGCAAAGCACAGCTGAGCACCAACAGCTTCTGTAACGATGATCGCAGCCGTCCCCCATGACGGTGGGCAGAAGCTGTCTGCCCCCCTGCACACCCCCCAGTCCGTTACTGAAGCCGAGATTGCCACCTCGGTCCCACCTCTCCCTGCCACTAGAGGATGCCATCGCCCTGCGCTTACTGAGGTCCCTACTCCAAGCGAAAGCAGCTCCTGAAGGAAAGGAAGGAGCTCCTCTCTCCTTGAGAGCCAAACCAGTCAACCACATCATCTAATCTGGGAGTTATTTAGAGCACCCAAAGGCAGATGTTTAAGCTAGCTCCATAATCAAGAGGACAATGGTTCCTTAAATTTGTCGATGTAATGACTTTGCAAAAATAATGCAAGGAAAAAATTCCTACATCAGCAATTCTGCTCCTCTAGCCCATGTCTGTTCTCACACACCGGAGCGCTGGAAATACGACTGTTCTGATGCCTGGTGTTTTTATTCAGCCACGTTTTTCCAATGAAGCAACATGACTGCAATTCATCCTCGTTAACAATTACCTTGGGGAAAAAAAGTGATTTTATTTTCACATGAAGATTATCATCACTGCGTGCCCCACGGAGCACCTGGGACGCATCAGTTCCTTGAGCAGAGCGTTATGGAGAGCAGCAAATTAGGTGATGTTTTAGCAGCTGATCTTCAGCAAACATCAGATGCTACGACTGTGGCATCCAGGAGTGACACTCAGCACCATTTCCACAGAAAGATATTTTCAGTAGAATCTTGGCTGCTGGCCACTGAAAGAAAATCCATCTTCAGGGACATATTAGTACAAATTAGCCTGCATCTGCAATGCTATAGCCATTAGAGCTGTAATTAATTGGCTTTCAGAAGTGGGAAGCAAGAGGCATGCTGAATAGGAGAATTTATCTTGGTAACAGATTTCCCTCCCAGCAGGAGCTACCAAAAATAGCTTCCTGCTAAAAATCTCTCAACCCTTACAGCAACACAGCGCACTCACACGGGTACCATGCCCTCTGCCAGGTGAGGGACAGATCCTTACAGGTCTCTCAAATTGCTACGACATTTCTGTCTTTACCAAAATGAGAAGAGCTGCTTTGCAACAGGAATAGCTCAGGCTTCATAAAATAATATTTGATTTCTGGAATAACTAAACATCTGGTTATCAATAAGAGACACATTTGTTTGGTACATCAAAAAAAACCCTTGTGCTTTTATGTCTCAAGACAAGTTAAGGCACTGGCACAAGTTGCCCAGAGAAGCTGTGGCTGCCCCATCCCTGGAAGTGTTCAAGGCCAGGTTGGATGGGGCTTTGAGCAACCTGGTGTAGTGGAGGGTGTCCCTGCCCATGGCAGGGGGGTTGGAACTGGATGATCTTTGAGGTCCCTTCCAACCCAAACCATTCCATGATTCTATGATTCTATGAAGTTGGGATATACAGATTCCTGCATACTCTTCCTAGAGACATTAATCACCTGTAAGTCACCCATGCAGCCAAAGCAATTTTCAAAATAAGCCTCATCTGAACCCAGGGTCTGTAGCAAAGTTACAAGCATTCAAAATTTAGGGATCAGGAAGATTCAAATAAACAAACCTTAAGGGGACTTGCAACATGCACCAGCTCTGAGGGGCTGCCAGTTCTCTACATCCCAACAGAGTGGGCAACCTGAGGAAAGCAAGCGCTGCAAACCCCAACAGCGAAAGGGCTACTGCACAGGGGCAACCAGGCACTGCTAGCGGGGCCCAATACTTGGAAGAAGACCTAAATATCAAAGCCATGTTTAAAGTAGCCTCAGTGAGAGTGTCTGACTCGAGCTCAGCTGGCCTGGCAGGCTCCACTCAGAGCAACAGCTCCTGCTTACGACGTTTATAACATGCTTAGAACAACTGCAGCACCCAGCTGCAGGCAAAGAAAAGCAAAAGGAGGTATCCAGTGCCACGTCGGGCAGGCTCCAGGCCCCAGGGAGACTCCGTGCCACAGCACCGCTCAAAGACAAGCTGTTGTAGCTCCAAAAGCAGCTCTCCTTGAAAAAGCACTCTGCTTGCAAGGCTTCCCCACTGCAACGGGCTCTTCAGACCTCAATCACGTTAAGCGACTGGTCTCCTGTAGCAGTTTCAATGTCTGACTAATTAATAACTATTAACAGCAGGCACTAGAACGTTACTGCTCAAGTTAACTTCCAACACTAGCAAGAGGTGGTGGCAAACAGCAAGATGCACCACACAAATCCTTGCACCGGGTTGAGATCAGGTCTGCAAACCACAGCGTGGTTCCCTTACGCCACTCCTGCCAGGGCACAAAGCCCAGCAGACCCCCCTGCCAACAGCTACACTTCGTTGTCTTGAGTTACACCTACCCCGTGGAGCTGTGTGGTGCACGCAAACCAGCTTGGCACTTCTCTAAGGGTACGTGCCCTCGGATCACCTCTAGGCTCACGGCACAGCAGAAGCAGGCCCACGTGCAGCACAGGCTCTTACGCTCCCGCCAGCACAGCCCAGCTTCTGCACCTGTCCTGACTAAAGTTACCACCACGGTAACTCCAGAGGCATCACTAATCCACCAGGCTCCTTAGAGAAGGGACCACCATCCCACACAACAACCCGCCACGGGACGGGCAGATTGCCAAGTCCGACGCAGAACAGTCTGAAACAAGGAGCACACGTCCAGCCTCCACGGAACCGCACGAGTGGGTCTCATCCGGGAGCGAGCAGTGGCAGGACCTGGGTAAAGACTGTGGAACTGCAGCAGATCCTCCCAGGCTCAGATAAGAAAAGTGATACCATGCTGTCAGGAGAACAAATAATTTTGGCCGTCTGATTACTTCTGTGAGCATCTCCTTTCTGTTGGCATGTTTGCCATCTGATATCTGAAGAATTTCATTAAATAAATCACGTATCTTTAGAGAAATGCAACTCTCTTTTTTCTGAAAACTGCATTTTGACCTGGATTCTTTTCCTCTGGAGCCTCCAAGTCAAGTCACTCCAGTTCCCTTCTAGTGTACGGCGCTTTTCACTTCAGGTGCAATCAGTGCAAACACAAAATGAGGCACAAAAATGACTTATAGCATCTCAACAACTGACTTCTGTGGGACACGAAGCAGGTCATGGCCACTCAGATGTGACACAGTAAGGCAGCAGACTGACAAAAATGACTAGATGTACCTCTGAGCCGTTTGCTGGTCCCTGAAGGGCACACACAAGCTCAGACCTTCCAATGCAAATCAAAACCCAAACCTGGAATGGGCCCTCAACTGGGGGTAAAGTGGGAGTCCAGCTGTGCGAGGTGACACTCACACCAGAGAACTCAAGCAAACAAATTTTCTTCAAGACTTCAAGAGATTTTTATTGGGGGATAAGGTGGGGAAGGGGGGATAGGGACACAAAAGAGCAAGATACACTCAGGAAGAAGAACCACAAAGTTACCTTTAACTCAGCAGCTGTAGGAATCTTTTCTTCCAAGAACAGCTCCCCAAGCTGATCATCCGAGTTAGCAACACATTCGATCAACTCCCGACGTCTCTCTGCAGCCTCAGCTCTAAACTCAGCTGGAATTTCATCATACCGAAGAGTCTGGCTGCAGTACAGAGATAAAGAACATGATCACTCTAAAGGAACACCACATCAATCAGCCTTTCCATCACTAATCATTGTGATGACCAGCCTGACCAAGAAAAACTCACCAGGGAGAGGGTTTCTTCCCACTCATAGCAGGAGTTTGTCAGGATGCAGGATAACCTGTTCAACAGCCTCACCCACATCTTATCTCCACCCCAGTAAGCTCGCACCAAACACACGCTACCAGTTCCCGTTAGGAAGCAAGCCTCCTGTTTCTCAGGGTGGCAAGCGTGGCTACCACCCCTTCACACTACCGCAGTTCACAAACGGGCCATGCTGCGGCCACCCACCGCTAAACCCAACCCTGCAGAACCATTCCACTGTAACCTGGAGAACTGGAAGGGTGACACCTCAGCCCCAGCACGAGCCACATCGCTCACTTTCCAAAGAGCAGGCTTTTTCATCTCTTAGAAGAAACTGTAGGTGGTTCCTCACACAAAGACTAGCTCCAGCTAAGAGATACGCAAGTTTCAAAACTTACCCAAGTGCCCCATCAAAATATATCGCTTTTTCTTCAATAAGGTCTATAACTCCTTTAAAGTTTCCCTCCAGCCCAATTGGAATCTGAACAAAAGCTGCATTGTGTTTCAACTTGGATCTGAAAAAGTGAGCAAATATAAATTAGTTCAAGAAAAAAAGTCATTTCTATAGATGTACTCCAGACGGTCTTTGAACAACATCCCATTCCTACAAAATCATTATCTTTTGCTCTTTGGACGGTGCCAAAAACCTACCAATGCTGATGAAAATCACCTAGCTGCATTTTAACCTGAGTGACTGCCAGCCCTCTACACCCCAACAGATACACGGAGCAACTTCCATGGGAACGAAGGCAGTGCAAACCAGTTTCAGATTAATTACTTGATTATGGGAGCTGCTTCTCCCTTAATGCACACTCACGCACGCATCTCACAGATGACATCAGGCACAGACAGACTGCAGGTAAGGAGCAAGCAGGACTTCTGGTGTCCCAACTAGAAACTGTCCAACCCTGCGTCACCTCCCTGCTGTGAGCTACAGCACGTTTGCTACCAGGGTCTAGGACAAATGAAAAGGCTGGTTTCCAAGTGGCTCCAAACCTACTTCCATCAACAAAACAAATATCAAAACCCCAACTTTTGGTCACTGCAAGCCTGGGCTGACACCAACATTTGTTCTTCCTGAGAAAATGAAGACTTGTTACAGGTCAGATTAGGATTTAACCTCAGGTCAGCTATTATCCTCCAAACTGCAACTACAGACCCCACGAGAGAACCCTTTTCGATAATCTTAGAGTTAACCTGCTACGTGAATAGCTCAAGATAATTTCACAAACAATTTTAAATGATAAATACCTCAACTGTTGTACCGCTCTGGTTGGGCTAGAGCCCAGCCTGTCCAGTTTGTTGATGAACGTTAAAAATGGCACGCCATAACGTTTCATCTGCCTGTTCACGGTTATGGTCTGGCACTGAACTCCTCCGACAGCACAGAGAACCAGAACAGCTCCATCAAGCACTCTCAAAGATCGCTCCACTTCAATTGTGAAGTCCACATGTCCTGAACAACAAAAAATCCTGTTACTCATAGATGATAAAAGGTAATGAGGAATTGTTTTCTCATACACACAGAAAGGAGCAACGGCCAACAGAAGCCCTCTCCAGCTATACAGAAAGAGTCACATCAGCTCAACTTGAGCAACTAATGACCACAAAGACGGGCACCACGCTCTTTGTCTGCACAAGGGAACAGCAACCTTAAACGTGTTCAGAACTGTCGCTACCTGGTGTGTCTATGATGTTGATGTTGGTGTCCTTCCACATGGTGTACGTTGCTGCAGACTGAATTGTGATTCCACGCTGTCGCTCCAGCTCCATTGAATCCATGACAGCTCCAACTCCATCCTTACCTTTCACCTTCAGAAAAAAAAAAAAAAAAAAAAGAAAAAATTTAGTCCAAGGAATTTTACTAAGAATTTTGCACGTGCAGGAGTGATGCTTTATACACTGAGCATCGTTTTGCATGCAGTGAAGAAAAACAGGCACTTGGAAAATGGCAGAGTCACTTGGAATTCCTGAACTACAAACAAGTTGGGTTTTTTTTAAGTTGCACATGCAATGTATTTGGCTCTCCTGAGGATCATTCCTGAAAAAAGTTATCAGAAACCTGCAGGAAATTATGCTTCACTGTGAATTTAACCAACTAACATATCTGAAGCTAAAAATTACATCTCCATGTTCTCTATTTCTCACAGTCATCGTTGACTACATCCAAAGAAACACGTATCTTCCATTGCACATTCACCATGGAGATGATAAGGGAGCAGAAAGTCTTGAAATAAGATTTGAAGTGTTCTGAAAGAGGGAGAACACTGCAGCGAAGGAGGGATTACTCTCTGTTCCCGTGCCCTCTACTTATTTTTAAAAGGGCGTGAAAGAAATCAGGAGATTTTTAGGACTCATGACAGCACCCAGCTCTGCTCCAGAGTCCTCGGAAAACCCACCTCGTGCATCTGTGTGATCCGGCCCGTGTAGAAGAGGATGCGCTCCGTCAGCGTCGTCTTCCCCGAGTCGATGTGGGCCGAGATGCCGATGTTGCGGATCCTCTCGTTGGGAAGGGCTCCCGAGGAGCAGTGCCTGCGGGAGTTCGGGACGAACTGGAAGGAGAGCAGGGCACTGGTTTAGCTGGGGGCCGATCGAACGCAGCTCGCTGCCCGCAAACGAACCTCCCGGCAAACTGCTCTGCTGTGGCTTCCGGTCAATATGACAAATCGGCCATTTACAGCGAAACGGCCTTTCCAGGCTCCCGCGGGGTCACCTCAAAGCTCTGCACCATCCCCTTCTCCCCACCTTCCCTCCCTCCCGCCCGGCCTTCCCTCCC